GGAGCATAAGCATAAGCGCTATCGATAAAAGTAGTAGTACCGTTGTGTACCCTATGTGGATGTCAGTTGTACACACATTCTGAGGCCGCCGTGCCTATGTTTTTTGTTTTCACTGCTAATGTATGCTTATGTTCTATTAGTGCATTAAAAAATTATTAAAATCATTAATGAAGTTTCAGCTCAGACCCCACGCTTAATATGTCTCCCCCTGGCCCACCTACATTTCTCCAGGCCCACCCACACAATAATTCCTGGCTACGCCACTGATTGACACATTGCTTAACTAACACATGTAAGTATTATATGCTTACATTTGGTAGTCAGCAAGTAGAATAAGCTTACATTTGATAGTAATGCAATGAAACTTAAATAATGTCAGTAATTTGTAATTCATTATTTAATTAGATATGAACTCCGGGCTAACAGTGTGTTTTTATTTAGTCAAGTTTTAGTCGACTAAAAGTCTGAGCATTTTAGTCTTATTTTAGTCAAAGAAAACTAATTATTTTAGTCTACTTTTTGTCAATGAATATATATAGAACATTTCAGTCAAACTAGTCTAGCCAAAACCAATAATTTGTCATTTTAGTATATATAAATAAATAAGATTATATCTTGTCCTTATTTGATGAAAAACACAGGTTGAATGATTAAGAAGCTTTGCAGAGAGGATCTGCTCAGGTTTGTGGTGTTTTCACCAGCTGTGTTTTGGCCACATTGCTTCCCTTCTGATGAAACAATGCATTCGCTTTTTTTCTCCGCCTCATTGTAGCGAAAATGGGCCCAAATATCGCATCGTTTCTTTCTCCCAAGCAGTGGTGGCTTTAGACTTTGTCGTTGTCAGTCATTTTGATGGACAGGATCGTAACATTTCCGTCATAATCCATTATTATCCGTCGAGTGCACAATTTATCTCTCACTCGCGCTGACAGGGGGGTCTTCGGTTAACGCGAGTGCGACCACTGCTCCCAAGCCCTGTTGTTGCCATTTTATTTTCTGTTGAATAAGGTTAGTTAGACCATGAGTTAGACCCGAGTCTTCCTGACAGTTCACAGTGTGCCGCTGCCCGGTGTAATTCACATCTACCGCCGCGCGCAGCACGGACACACAGCTGCTGCCCAGCCGCAGCCCCGGAAATGGAACTGCTGGGAGAAAAACTGACTATCAGAGATGTAACGTTATCTTTGATAATATTTCGTCTCCTCATTTTTCGTCAACGAAAGTAAAGAGAGATTTTGGCATAGTTTTTATTTAGTAAACTACATTTTCGTCTCGTCACTTTTCGTCAACGATATTGCATGATGATTTCGTTACAGTTATTGCAGACCCGGCGCCGGAACAAATCTAAAGGGAGGGCATATGATTTTCATGGGAGGGCACACAAAACCGTCATGTGCTGCGGGCCTGCGGCACAATATATATCAAACAGCAAGGCCAACAGCATTGCGTAAAGACGCACACTTATCGCAAATACATACACAAATAAAGGGCAACATAGAAACCACTTTTGAAACATTGTGTGCGTGGCAGCACACACACTGGTAAATCACGAGCAAGGCACACTGGTTAAGGATGGCAGCTTCCTCGTCGCTGCACTCGGAGAGAAATAAACGGAGACGATGAACTGTTTAACCCGCCTTGGGCATGGTTTATTTTCCTATGCACTGCAGCAGGTGCATCCTTTCGCTCAGCCGAGCTAACTTAGAACATTATTTTTGGCCAACTCTGCATCTTTGTGCAGCGTATACTCAAACAGCGATAGGAAGAGCCCACTGCCTGACAGATACATGCTGTGGAGTGAATCGAGTCACCTCTGAGAGGGAGTTGGTTGACGGCTAAAAAAGCTATAATATCAACGACAGCTGACACGTAATAACGGCTCCGTGCAGCTGATCTGCACCAAAGAACTAATTTCTTTGTTTCCTCGCGTGTCTCTCTCTCCACAAACTCTCACATGAAATGTGTTCTTTTGATGCGGCATGCCTTAGCAGTCCTTTATCAGTCTAATGCGTGTTTCCAGTCGCAAAAACCTTTGACAGTAAAAGCCACATCAGATGAAGACGTATTTACTTTAAAGTGTCTACAGGGGAAACAAAAGGCTGCGTCTGCTTTTAACGAATCTTCAAGCCGGTGTGTTGTGTACCATGCAGCGGCAAAAGTGCGCTTCTTTCCTGAAAACAATCTCCCTGATAACGATCCAGTTTCACCTCGTTGGGTTTATTAACCCCAAGATCATCTGGGGCTGTTGGTCTTTGAGCGGTTGCTTTTCAGCCAATTTCTGATGTCCATTTTGTAATTCAAACAGAAATGGGAGTCTACAGAATGCACAATAAACAAACAAATCCAGAAGGCGGCAGAGTGTGACGCTGTGATTGGTCTAAATGTGGACGAATCACAAATCACAACAGACACATGCATTTATTTGACATAGCCTGCGATTTTTTGTTTTAGTTACTATCTGACATCAGATACATCGTAGCAGAAAAGTTCGCAGTTTATTTATAATTAAAAAAATAAAAACATTTTTTTTTAAAAATGTTATATATAATAAAAAACGTGTTTATTGGGGGAGGGCAGGAATGTCAAATGGGAGGGCCTGGCCCTCCCTGGCCCTCCCACGGCGCCGGGCATGAGTTATTGTTTACTGCCGTCGATGCCGTCTCGTCATCGTCTCGTTTTCGTCATGGAAAAAAAGGTCGTTGACGAACATATTTCGTCATAGTTTTAGTCAACGAAATTAACACTACTACAATCCTGGACGATATGGAAGAAGACATGTTTTTCTGAAGAATGACTAAAAAATAAAGTCAATAAAGCATACATAAAAATAACATGTTTTTCTGTAGTTAAATTGTCATTAGGCGCGTTCACACCGCAGTACTTTTCCCACTATAGTTCCGAAATGTCGCGTTCACACCAAAAAGAGCCGGAACTAAAAATTAGTTCATGAGAACCTTTTCACCCTCTTTTCCGTCCCTGCTAGAGAGCAGGGACTTTCGTGGGAGAAAAAGGTTCCTGTGTCTGATTGGCTGGGCGGATTGCAAACCACGCCCCGTAATACTCCCAAAAAGTTTTGTGAAGCCGCCATTTTATTATCCTCGCATTAGCATTAGCATTAGCCCAGCGCAGAAACGCAGAGAGACTAACTTATGGCAACACAAAATAAAACATGGGAGCGGTGGAGATGAGGAGGTGTCGGCGTTCTGGCGATTTACTCTGAAGGCTTCAGTAGAAGCTGCTGGGAGTCCCAGCAGCTTCTACTGAAGCCAGTCCCCAACTCCGGGGACTTCCGGCCGGGGACTTCCGGCCGGGGACTCCGGGCGGCAGTATACGCCGTGCAGTGGTTTGCGGCCTGCCAGTAAACCCAAAGCAGAAGAAGAACAAGTGACGTCAGTGGCTTCATTTGCCCCTCCCTCAGGGACTTATTCCGGTGTGAACGCGATCTGTACTTAGTTAGTACTGAGTTCCTTGAACCTTTGCGGGAAAAGTACAGCGGTGTGAATGCGCCTCTTGACAACAAATCCACTTGTGTTGGGTCTATTGATGACTTAAAGGTCCCATGTCATGACCATTTCTACTGATCATAATTCCATTGTTGAGGTCTACTAAATAGATTTACATTGTGCAATGTTCCAAACTCACATTGGTTTCTCAAACAGCATCTCTGTATAGTATGTGTATTCACTCTGTCCTAAACGGCTTGTTGGAGCTCCTGCCCCCCCCCCTCCCTGTGAGCCCATTGTGCTCTGATTGGTCAGCTCGCCCACTCTGTTCTGATGAGTCCACCGCCGTTACAGCGGAACATCAGTGATGTGTTACAATGGCGTTAGCAACCAGGAAATGACACCAGTAATGACAAACAGATGAGAATGCTGCGTGGGGTCTGGGTGCCGTGTTGGCGGGACGTTGCGGGGCTCGCTGCTCCGCCCTTTGAGACTCGAGGAGCGGACAGTGTGAGCTGGATTACTGGTGTCGTTTCCTGGTTGCTGCGTGGGGTCAGCAAGACACAGAGGAACTCAGCCTGAGCGCAAATACAGTACACACACAGCCAGGCTGATCACCACACACTCACAGCCTGAGAAAAGATAAGGCTGTGTGTGTGTGTGTGTGTGTGTGTGTGTGTGTGTGTGTGTGTGTGTGTGTGTGTGTGTGTGTGTGTGTGTGTGTGTGTGTGTTTGAGGAGCTCCACTGATTGGTCCATTTGGTCGTCGTTACGTCACTTAGACCAGGAAGAAATAAATGAAAAAAGAGAAATCTCCAACGAGGCGTTCTGGGGCAGCATAGACAGGTATTTTCTGTGTTAGAGTTTTACTCGCTACAGGGTGCACTTTGAGGGTTTGTGACTCTGCAGACCGTTTACATGCAGAAAAACCTTCATAACACACAAGGGGACGGGTACGGAAAAGCATGACATCGGACCTTTAAATACATTTTTTCCCCCATTTTATTGACATTTTTACACCTTTTTGCCTCCTTGTGTCTCATTTTGGTAACTTAGGTCTGTTTGCGGTTATTATAAGTATCATTATGGTAATTTAATTACTCTTGTCTTACTTTGAGGTCATTTTGAATCTCATCCTCGTGGTTCGTGTCTCTTTGAGTGACATTCTTGTATAACAAAGCCCCTGGGCCTGTTCTGTGTATTAATACTTACTTTACTCACCAAATGATTCACACATATCATATTTAATCAACTCTTAATGGTTGACTGTGTGATTCTTCTTACTTGCTGGCAAGATAAGGTCCCTTGTCTGTATATGTGTTTAATAAAGGCGTGCCATGTTTAATAAAGGCATGTGTAGTGCATTAATAAACAGTATTTTACCAGCAGTGTTGCTCACCTACATTAACAGCTCGTCCACTAAACGTCCAGCTTTTTAATATTTCCACTACCTTTTACTCCGAGCTAAATGACATCAATTAATTTCCTCTGGCAGATCATTAATCTCGCTGTCGAGACACCGGTGTGCGCTGGAGAAAAAGGAGGGTCGGGGACAAAGTGATGTTGAACTTTAGAGACAGTTTATTTAAACTTTAATTTACAGCAGTTCCACTGGAGAGGAAAAAGAGAGTTTGATGAGTTCTACGGTTTGTACAGGGATGCAGCTCGGAGTGCAGAAGGCACACAGTCGGCTTGATACTCGCCTGTAAGCGCTGCAAAAACATTACAAAAAAGATGGAATGACGGCGTTCAAATGGATGTTTTTTGCTGAGATGATGCCTCCTGTTTGTACTCCAGTGAACTTGATGATATAGTGGTTTAAAAACGACAAGCTCCTTCTCCGTTAATGTGCACTTAACAAGCGTGTGTTTGGATTTATTTCCCGTAAAGCTGGTGTGTTTTACAATATGTGAAACTTAAATTAAACTTTACAATGTTAAGGCATTTTAGCAATTATTGAGATGCAAGTCTAAACAAAAAGGATAGGAAGCAATATTAGTTGTGATGGTTTGGCAATAATATGGCATTCTTCATTTTCTCATCACACACACATTTTCCGAACGTCCAATAAGCTGCCAGATCTTCCCAAAAAAACCATGGAAACGGGAGACTCAAAATATCATCAGGATTAAGGAAGACTTGTGCTAGCATCAATCGATATGGAAAAAAACCCACACTCATTCTGAATAAAGATCAAACAGTAAATGTACAAAGTGTCGATAACATGTGACAAGAGATTAATTTCTGCCACAAAGAAATTGAAAACACAATTCAAGTAAAGCCTTATAAACTGAAATCAAATACAAATAATTGCTTTTAAATCACTTGGAATTGTTGCATCTTAGATTTAGATTATAAAAAAGTACATTCAACAGGTACCAATTATGGAACAAAGTGATAACAGAGGTAAGTAACAAGAATCAGTCATTGATATTGAAGAAAAATCATACAAAACCAATATTAAAGGCGGATTTAGACGATTTCAAATGATCTGGATTTACTTTTTGACTTTAGGAAGTAAGGGATTAATATTTGTGTCCACACAGCAGTTTAAAGTGCTTCTTACTGATAAATAGTGTGTTTTTGTTGCAAATCTAACGTTATTATTAGAATGATTGTTAAAGTCACTAACACTCTTAAAAATAGAATAAATGTAAGTAAATTAATTGAATCCTTAACGCTAAAGTCAATTTAACAACAATTTTAGCTGGAAATAAAAAAAGGGGGTAAATTTACACTTAAAACAATAATAATATTACACTTTAAAGTTTTTTTTAATACCAGATCACAATCTAAATCCGCCTTTATCTATCTTAACATTTCCCAAACTCACTTCCACTCATTCACACCCCATAGCGAATTTTTTATTTAATCATAAATATATTATCATAGTTACACAAATGTAATTATATTCTAATATATAATCAAACTGAACTCAAACAAGGTTTATATAGTTCAATATCCGACTGTTTACATGTGACCTTGGACAAAAAACAAGTGGCGCAAAATGTGCAAGAAATCATGAACAATGAATGATGATTTGCTTAAAAATAAAAGCACCAGTAACTCCATCATAACGTAGAATAACTCAAGATTGATTTGACATTTAAAACGACAATAATCACAAGTCTGATTTCCACCCACAGGCTCATCGAACTGGAGGAAGAAGCAAAGAGAGGAGGAAGAAAGCCGGAGAGTGTTTTCAAACAAAGAAACTCCGCTGCGGGTAAGGCGAGAAAATGTATCCGAGACTTTGTTTAACATCAAATCCAGACGGCAAATGAAAGACAAGAGGCAGGTGAGCGATGAAGCCACAGAGGAGAGGAAGAAAAAGGCAGAAAATCATACTTTAAGAGACAATATCTACTTGTCTCCAAAACAGTTTCACAACACAGACCACAGGAAGTGCCAGAGCTCATTGACTGCCTTTAAAATGGACTAAACTGGGAGAATGGGACTCATTAACTGTACTTTAAGTGTTGCATTGAAATACTTAAATCCACTTGTATTGACGTAGCAGACACACAGGTTTAGAGTTCAATAAAGTAAACTAATTGGTTCTTTTGAACTGACTGTATGCACTCTTATGCTAAATTGACTGTTTCTTGTTGAAGCTGAACACTTGAGATGTAATTATCAATGTGTCACAAGCATCTCCTCCTCCATTAATTATCTTTTCAATTAAGTTTAGCGCACTTTTAAGTATTTCAAGTGACTAAATATCATGTTTTTGAAGCATCCAAACATTTACAGCGAAAAACAAATCTGAAATCTGTGATAAATGCGGATTTATTTTCTATCTTGCTTTGGAAATAAGGGCTATAAAAATGGCGTATGGTGTGTGGCGTTCTGCTTTCTTACTGCATGTTTCTGACATGGCACAAGGGGACTTAATAATAGTAAAAGAAAAAAGGTTTCGCACAGAATATCAGAGATCCTACAAATATTTACACGACAGATACAGGCACTTGTATATCTTTGGTTGGAAAAACCCAACATTGCAAGAGTAATGCATTCACAGAGCTGTTGTGTCCCTAATAGGATCTCCAGGGTTCACTAGGCAACTGGTATGTTTATGTATGTCTTCTGTTTCTTTGTCCGTGTTACAGGTAAGTTCTGAAATAGCTCTCTGTTGTCTTTTTAACCCTCTGAGAGCGCCACCTGCAACACAAGAAAAACGGCTTTTAGTGCAGCGGACTCGAAACAGGAAGTAATGCAGAAAGCCCCCGTCACACTGTCCCGAAATGTACACCAGATGGACACACGAATATGGAATTGTGAATTTCGCACGAAGATGGCCACGAAGTTGGTCAGCAGCCAAGCAACAGCCGAAGCAAGTACGAGGCCTACAGAAGGCCACACGATGGCACACACGAAGATATGGTCGTAGACTCAACGTAAGAGCTTGTGCCTCTTCGGGGGGAGCTAATAACATTTAAACATACACGTTATTCTTTACTTTCTCCGTCTTTATATGTAGATTAGAAGATATTACTTATCTCCGTCATGTTGTTTCCATAGCAACAACAACTTCCTGTCAACAGAGTAAACTCGCCTTCAAAATAAAAGCATCTAAATAAGACAGGAAGTTAACCTAAATTACATTTACGACAAAAACAATGTAATATCCTTTTCAGTTCCACAGAACACAAATTGGGTTATTTACATAATCTGGTTACATGATTTTGTTGTGCAATAAATAGAATCTCGATGTCATTGAACTATAATACGATGGCTACACGACGGCTTCACGTAGTCGTGTTGCCTTCCTAAGACAATCGGGCAGCTTCTTGTTTCATTCGTATTGTCTTCGTGAGGCGAAAAATGCCCCGATGGCACCGATGATCAGACGAAGATGACACGATTTGACAAGATGCCCTCACGAGTGCCTTACGAAGGGCAAAATGGATACACGAATTCAACACGAAATGAACCTTCGCAAGGTCCTTCGGCATGTTTTTGGCAAAGATTTTGCCACCGCTCACGAAGTTGCTGCCGGAGCCTGAGAAACTCCACCGGCGGTCATACGATGGCTTAAGATGCCCTCACGAATGGCATGTCGATGTTGTTACGATCAGAGCCGAATTTGAACACTTCCTTTATCGTGTGTCCATCTGGTGACAGTGTGACGCGGGCTTAAAGGAACACTTTATTAAAATCATACCACCAGAAAAATAGGGAATAAGGAAAGAATCGACAGCATTAGAGTCATGCAACTTGGCAGACAGGTTTGCTTTGAATGTGTAATCAATATTGTGATTTATTTGAATATGAAGTATTTGTTTGTGTCTTTGAGTAGCCTTTAAATGTATTATTATTTTCATTATCAGATCCTTTTGACTAAAGTAAATAGTGTGTATATATAGCCAGGGCCGCCGCTTGCGGACAGGCAACTGCTTGGGGCCCCGGACCAGAAGGGGGCCCCCCAAAGAAGGTAGATTAAGAAGGTCCACAGCAACGACACCATGATACACCCTTTAATTTACTGCAACGACATGTCGGGAAACCCCCTCAAAGCGGCTTATCTTAAGTTTCGTTGCTCTGTGTAGCTGATATCAGAATTATGTAAACTACTAAACAACTACTAAACAACAACAAACATTTCCTGCTGCTTTATTTATGTTAAAGTCTAACCGGACAGCAAACCACAGGAAGGATTTTATTGTTTAAAGTGAGACACGTTTACCACTAAGGGAATCTTAAGATGCTTAATTCTTGGAGCTCTGACAAGATCTCAACTCAGTTTTGCTCTCAAAGTGCATTTTGGCGCAATTAAGAGTTAAATAAAAACATGTTTTTCACGTGAGTAAACGATCATGATGTCTATATTGACCAAATTAGGTGTGAATATAGTTTTACTATCATTTTAAATTATTTTTTGTATACCTTAATTTATTTTAATTAATCTTTTATTGCACATTTTTACTTTAAATTCCTATTTTTATTTAAATATATTAATTTGTTTAAATGTCTATTTAGTGCAAACTCTTACTCTAACTTATATATTTATATTATTTTATTTGTATTCTATTTTATTTAATATTTTATTAGACATTTCCTTAAAAAATAAATATATATAACTATTTTTTTATTTTTTATATTTCTTGGAGATTACCTTGAGTTTTTTAAATATATCTTCTTACAAATTCTTACTTCCATGTCTAATGTTATTTAACTATTTATAAAGAGGGATATAATTAAATATCTTTATAGCAAAGACAGCATTAATATGTATTTAGCTTCTTAAGCAAGAAGGAAAACGTGAGAAAAGCACACATTACATACAGAAGCCCATTGGACAGTGATCAGAGAGTCAGCAGTGTGATTGGATGAAGAGTTTAACCAATCACTGGTGGGTTGTAGTTGCTGGAGCTACCTGTTCTCGTCACATAGCACTGCAGCTGTGTGCTGTACCTTCTCTGGGCACATGTCGGCGCTGCTCTGCCGCACTTTGCCCGGCCGCCCTTTAATCACCGCGTAACAGAACATAGTGATGACCATGACAAACAGGAAGTAGCTGGTGTGCATCAGGTGCAGGTTGATGAGGGAGCGGTCATCCTGGGAGGAAGGGAGGAAGAATGAAATATCACAGGAGCTGTAGGATCTCATCATCATCAACTAAAATCAATTATTTTCCTTAACTCCCAAAACATGTTATGGTCCTTGTAATGGCAATTTCCTTTTCCTATGTCCTATATATTTTTGCCGTTACTTTCACAGAAGGGTTGAAAAGTGATCCAGACGCAGACACTAACAGATGATTTTCCGGTCCTTAGTTGTGGTTTATGATGATGTTTATTCGTCTTTACATACCAGGGTTAATTTAGCGTTCTAGTGATTCTATGAGCATCTGCCGGGCTGGTGGAATCGGTATGCTCTTCTCCTACTGTGTCCCCTCCTCTCCTGTCACCTATGACCTCCTTATATACACCCGGTGCAGCTAAACCCCGCCACCCAGTGTTCATAAATAATATTGCACTATACATATAACTTAAATAAACTGACACACCAACATCACCCACAAAATGGCTCCTACACACCGGCCCCTAATTGGCTTTAGTATGAAAACAAAAACAATTACCAATAAATAATAAAGGAGCTATACAAATGGTGTGTATGTGTTAGCATGTAATTCTTAAATAATTTTTAGTTTATTTTCTTCTCTAGATATTTGAAGGGTCATCAGTCTTTGCTGTTCTTAGGTTGAAGCAGTCGTGTTGCCATCCCGTCCAGCGCCGAGAGAACCTGTGGGTTATATTTTCATCCAATTCCAAGCCTCTCCTTATAGGGCTCCTGCATTGATGAGTCAGTCACTTCCTCAGGTCTGTCACTTGGGTTCAGCCGGTGCCCTGCTACCATAGCAGCAAAATCGCAGATGAGCTGCTCGGTAACGTGTTTGTTGTTAGGCAAGCTGGGATTTTCTTGTCTGAATGGCAAGTCTAGGCAGTAGTGTCCATCTGACATTTTCACTTTCTCGGCCACAGGCTTGGCTTCTTCCTCAGGCACTGCGTCAGATTGGTGTAACTCGACATCTGCTGTGAAGTCAGGCATGCTGTGACAGGAGTCTGAAGTCGGCTGGCTTTCAAAAGGCTCGTCTTCTGCCTCTTCATAGTAATCACCTGAATCCCGACCCTCATTTTCTTCTTCTTGGGGGGCCTCAGTTTTGCCTTCAACATCCCTATCACTGTCTCCTTTGGCATCTGCTACAACATCGCCATCCTCTTTGGCGTCTGCTACAACATCTCCATCCTCTTTGGTGTCTGCTACAACATCTCCATCTAAACATCACAACAACGTAACATTGGCAACATTACTCAATATCACTGATCAGATCTCCTAACATACGTCTTGGCCAACAGTCGCGCTGGAACACACCGCAAAGACTTCAGCCAAGTAGCACGTACGAACTGCGCATGCATGAGTGGCAATAACTCTCCTTACCAGCAGGCGGCGGTAGTGTGTATTCGTCATTCAAAAGAGGCAACAACCGGAAGAAGGGGTGTTTTTCAATCGCGAGGATGCTGGCTTGGTAGTCGCGTACTTCCAAGTCACTTCCTTCAGAAACGAAGCAAGTATACTTCCAAGCCACGGCTTCGGAAACGAAGAAGAATGGAACAGGCTAACAAGTGTGCCACTCTCTCTAACGGTTTCAACATAAACTGTACCGAAAATAAATACCTCACGATGTCTATCTAATTATGAACTTGCTTTACTTTCAGGAACACATTTTTGGTGATAACAAACAAATGTAACAAAGTAACATATTTACCAACACATGTTCTACGCCACTACATACTTACATTTAAATGTGTGCTGCGTCGGTTCAGCCATTCTTCGCAAGGGTTTTTGAAATTGGTCCGTGCGCAAAGCATTGTGGGGATTTTAAGGACGCGAAGTCTACCCATGTGCAGCCTCGAAATTTCCCCCAAACCAAGGACGCGGCCTCTGTGGAATTCCAAGCATGCTGGAGATTGGAACAGTCCTTCGGCGGCACTCGATGACATAGCATCCTTGAAATATTGGCTTGGAAGCCAGAATCCTCGAGATTGAGAAACAGCCACAGACTGCGTGATAACCGAGAGAAGAAGAACAGACTGCGTGATATAAACAAACAACAAATAGCGTGTGCGTTCCATTTCCACTCTACAGCGAGAAGCTCACAGGGATTTCCCGAACCTGAGTCGAGAGCTGGAGTTCAATGGAATCTCAGATTTGCCTTCTTAATCGTTTGTTTGGGTCCCTCACTTCCGTTTAGCTTCTCATGCACTGATTCGCGAGCTGAACAGCCAATCAGAGTGATTTATTTGACCGACAGCCTTCGGCTTGTCGAATCGGTAGGTCTTCGGCCATAAAGGTGTCGGCACGGCCAAAAAGACACGACGGTGCGAGACACACCAATCTGAGTAGGGCGACAGGACTCTCATCGTCGGCCTGACATCCATCGACGGCCAAAATCGGCTTGGTGTGTCCGAGGCTTTACAGTGTTAGTGAATACCTGAAAATCCTCCTGCCCTCCCTTCTTTGCAAAGTATGGTGGGTGTTCCAGCCGGGAGATGGTCAGGAATCTCAGAGCGTCTGGTCTCGAAGCGGCTGCCATCACCTCTTACAGTATTTCACTGTTTTATGGACATGACTCGCTCTGGGTCTCCCTGTCTCCCTTTGTTTGCTTCTTTGGAAACATCAGCCAAGCGTTTTATTACAACCTCAGAGCCAGGCCTGTTCCCCGCTGTGGGAGGCGAGTGCGGAGTGAATATTCTGCGTCTCAGGCATAAGCTCGCAGATTTCAAGAAAATAATAAATGCTATGTCCTATGATTTTTGTGCTCAGCTTTGTTGGAGGGCCCACAGACCTCTGCAACGTGGGTACATTGAAGTTTACAGTACATACGTTTTCTAAAGTCTTACATTTCATACTAGAGCTTTTTAAAAACCAAAACATTGCTACGTTTAATTTGTTTGTTGTTCAACTTGACTACTCAAGATATCAATAATGTATTTATAACTGTGTAGAAGAGCTTGTACCTTATCAATAAACTACCTGGTTACCAAGCATTCTAACACTGCACTAAAGGGAGAGGACAATGCACGACACCAGAGACAAGGTCAAAAGGAACAAAGGCTATATTTTCTCTTGTTGTTGGTCATGGTGTTGGTCATCCCCTCCTCTGCCATCTGGGAAGTCTCTTTCTACATCCATTACGGTCATGCGGCGACAAAAACCCTTCAACACCAGCATGAGGCGTGTGGCGCAGTGGATTGGTGTTTGGATCAGGAGGTCACAGGTTCAAACCCCACTGCAGTCAGCATGTCGTTGTGTCCCTGAGACACTTCATCCCAAATTGCTCCTGTGGGGATTGCCCACAGTGTTGAGTATGTAAGTCTCTTTGGATAAAAGTGTCTAACATGTGACATGTAATGTAATGTCCCACACATGCATGTAGCACATACGTTCTACCAAACACACATGTACACTTGAAATCCAAGCAAACACACAATTCATGGCAGCAAACTGAACTGAATGTTCTTGCAAATATAATTTAAAATGTATCACAAAATAACCTATAAATAAAAAATCTTTGATTTAGATACAGTGTCTATATTGCACTGGTCCACCAAAGAACACTGAATGACTATTCAAAAGTAGCTGTAGTTTTTAGTTGTGTTTGTGCCATGTTTTAAATGTTACTTTTTTTCATGTACCATATATACGAGAAATGTAACATGACACATAACCTATTTATATCATGAGAACATTTAAATTGAATGCAGTACATAACAAATAAAGAATAATACATATAAAGTACTACATCAGTGCAGTGTGTATAACGTCTTGAAAACCTGTGTTAGAAACCTGAATTAACCAGTTTCTTTTAGACTCAGATTATTGGAAACATTTCTTAATTTACTCTTAAAACTGTTAATTAATTTGAGTTGCGGTTGATTTGAAGAGTCTCCTTTTTCAGGAGGTGATAGCGGATACCCATGGAGGATTCTGGGAAATTGAGTCCCATGGCTCAGTTGTTATGGTGAGTTCCAAACATGACATGTAGTCACGCCTAGACTACTGCAACTCCCTCCTGGCTGGTCTACCTGCATGTGCCATCCGACCTCTGCAGCTCATCCAGAATGCAGCGGCTCGTCTGGTCTTCAACCTTCCTAAATTCTCCCACACCACTCCGCTCCTCCGCTCCCTTCACTGGCTTCCGGTAACTGCTAGAATCCACTTCAAGACAATGGTACTTGCGTACCATGCTGCGAATGGATCTGGCCCTTCCTACATCCAGGACATGGTTAAACCGTACACCCCAGCGCGTGCACTACGCTCTGCATCAGCCAAACGACTCGTTGCGCCCTCGCTGCGAGGGGGACCCAAGTTCCCATCGGCGAAAACACGTGGGTTTGCTGTCCTGGCTCCAAGATGGTGGAATGAGCTCCCCATTGACATCAGGACGGCAGATAGCTTGCACATCTTCCGGCGCAAACTGAAAACTCATCTCTTTCGACTCCACTTCGAGCGTTAGAACTATTAACGAAGCACTTTTATACTAATAAAGGACTGGCTTACCTAAAGCCAGTTGAGTAGCACTTGAAATGTTTGGCTCTATGAAACCTGATGTACTTATATGATTCTGTTTTCTTCAAGGTTGTGTCTTCCTGGTCGAATGTACTTATTGTAAGTCGCTTTGGATAAAAGCGTCAGCTAAATGCAATGTAATGTAATACATGTCATTATAGAATGTTGGCAGTGTTCCGATGACATCATGTGTTCCAAGTGCTTTTATCTGCTCATGACATCATCGTGATGTCACAGGTCATTCCAAAATAGTTAGCAAATAGGACCCAGACTCTGAGCCAGCACACAGCTTTTCTTCAGAGTGACCTGACACATCTTTAGCAGAGACACACCAGTGACAGACTTCATCGACACACAAAGCTAGGAAATATTCGACCTGCTAAATAAAGATGGAGCGAGGAAGAACCCATAAGATGGCCCTGGACCCCCACACCGTGCAGAACTCACAAAGAGAGCAGAACAATATGCTCAAGCACGAGCCTGCTAACAGTTTTGATGATAACTCAAGG